AAACATTCAATGAATGAACATTGACCCTCACTCATTTCTGCTATTCAAATCATTGGAGGCCAAGGAGGGTGGATCATGAGGTCAGGAGTTCAAGACCAGCCTGGCCAAGATGGTGAAACCCTGTCTCTGCTAAAAATACAAAAATTAGCTGGGCATGGAGGCTGCTGCCTGTAATCCCAGCTTCTCAGGAGGCTGAGGCAGAGAATTGTTTGAACCTGGGAGGCGGAAGCTGCAGTGAGCCGTGATCTCACCACTGCACTCCAGCCTGGGTGACAGAGCAAGACTCTATTTCAAATTTAAAAAAAAAAAAGATGAAGAAAAAAAATTCATTTTTACTCTCTGAAGACATGACTTTCTAAAAATGACTGAAATCTTTGAAGCAGCTTCAGACTGTGCACGTTTATTCAAAAAGCTGGAAAAAAGTGAAAAACATTATTCAATATATCAAGTTGATTTTTATTTGTTTACTTAATGTGTTATCACAGCTGCTGAGAATTGTTCTTTCATTTTTTGTTTTGTCCATTTCTGGAGGTAGATCCTAGATATCTTAAAATTATTGAAATTAGCAAAATGTGTATGTCAGTATACAAATCTCAGTTCACAAATCAGGTATGCAAAGGCCCTGAGATTGGGATGTGTCCACAGGGTCCAAGAAACAGCAAGGAGGCCATTGGGACTAAGTGAGAGAAAGCAAGTAGAGAGGAAGTACCTGTAGTTGAATTCAGAGAGATGGTGGGGCCGCAACTTTGTGGGCAGTTGCAAAGCTTTTAGCTTTCACACTGAGTAGGATGGACACATTTGGAGGTCTTTAAGGAACAGAAGAGGGTTAAGAACAAGAACCGGGAACCAATTCAGAACCTACTATGATAGCCCCATGAGAGAAAGAGTGAAGACGTGACTTAGAATGGTAATGGTGGTCATGGTGAAAAGTTTGAAAAACTTCGAAGGTCAAGTTAGCAGGATTTGCAAATGAACCCAACATGGGTTTCCTGACTACTATGTATCCTGTGAGAACTCCATCATCCAATTTAGTCATCAAGCCATTGAAAGCTCCTTCATTCTCACCTACACGATCCCTTCAAATCCAATATCTCCTTCCAGTACTTACATGTCACATTTCAGACTCCTCCTGCACACATGGGACTGCAAGAATAGAAATGTATTCCCCAGCAGAAGCCAAAGGTTAACCTCATTTAGTTACCTTGTAGGAGTCAGTATAGCTGTGGAATTTTCTTAGGGACTCACACTTCCCTGAAAGCATCCATGTAATCAAAGCTGCAAAAATAAATTAAATAAAATAAAGTCAACTTTTTATATTCATGAACAAATGTACCTGGAGATGATCAATAATATAAAAAGTCAGGTTTTTGTTTAGTTTTCTTGGTTATTACCATTTATCATGCTATTTCTTTATATTTTCAAATCACTTAATAAATACTATTTTTTTAACAAAGGCACCAGTATTTCTTGGAGAAATGACTGATTTTAGGACTGGGACAGGAAATATACAATACAAGCCTGGAGCATCTTTTAGCACCAAAAAACAAGGAAATGTTTACAAAGCAAAACAGTGGAGGTGTGTCAAAGGATCACAGGAGCCAAATGAAAGAGTTCCCAATGGCCAAAGTCAGAACAACAAAATACATAATGTAGTCATGGATTGTAGTCATATAGTCATTGGTTGACTATAATGTAGTCAACCAAAAGTATAAAATAAATATCCATGAGCCTATACTAATATAAATAAATGACTGAATAAATAAATAAATGGCAGATAATAGACAAGTCTTTCATGCAGAATAATTCCAAATAATGTATGTAGATTCCCCACCCTCAAGGACATGGAGCATGACTCCCAATTCTTTTTTTGTTTTGTTTTTAATTGAGACATGGTCTCACTCTCTTGCCCAGGCTGGAGGGCGTTGCTGCATCTTGGCTTACTGTAGCCTCAATCTCCTAGGCTCAGGCGATCCTCCCACCTCAGACCCACAAGTAGCTGGGACTATTGGCAGGTGCCATCATGCCGGACTAATTGTTATATTTTTAGTAGAGACAGGGTTTCACCATGTTTCCCAGACTAGTCTTAAACTCCTAGGCTCAAGCAGTCCTCCTGCCTTGCCCTCCGATATTGCTGGGATTATAGGCACAAGCCACCACACCCAGCCCCAACTATCTGAGTTATAAATAACGTCATCAGTGATCAATCATGTTAATGGTATGTACCCTGATATGGTTTGACTATGTCGTCACACAAATCTCATCTTGAATTGTAGCTCCCATAATTGCCGTGTGTTGTGGGAGGGATCAATGGGAGACATTTGAATCATGGGGGTGATTTCCCCCATACTGTTCTCATGGTAGAGAATAAGTCTCACGAGAGCTGATGGTTTTATAAGGGGTTTCCCCTTTTCCTTGGTTCTCATTTTCTCTTCCCTGCCACCATATAAGATGTGACTTGTTCCCCCTTGCCTTTTGCCATGATTGTGAGGTCTTCCCAGCCATGTGGAACTGTGAGTCAATTAAACTTCTTTCCTTTATAAGTACCCTGTCTCAGGTATGTGTTTATCAGGAGCACAAAAATGGGCTAACACATACTATTTGATATGATGTGATGAGAGTGGCATTCGGCCTCTGCGGTCTTTCTCCCAGACATCTGCAACCCATGTCTAACCACGAGAAAATCACCAGAATAGGCCAAATTGAAGGACATTGTGTAACAGCGGTGCTCAACCTTTTTGGCGCCATGGGCTGGTTTTGCAGAGGAGAATTTTTCCACAGACAAAGGTGGCGGGGATGGTTTTGGGATGATTCAATGCATTACATTTACCGTGCACTTTATTTCTATTATTATTACATGCAATATATAATGAAATAATTATACAACTCACCATAATGTAGAATCAGTGGGAGCCCTGAGCTTGTTTTTTTTGCAGCTAGATGGTCCCATCTGGAGGAGATGGGAGACAGTGACAGATCATCAGGCATTAGAGTCTCGGAAGGAACATGCAACCTAGATCCCTCATATGCGCGGTTCGCAGTAGTGTTCCCGCTCCTGTAAGAATCTAATGCCCCTGCTGATCTGACAGAAGGTGGAGCTCAGGCAGTAATGCTAGCAATAAGGAGTGGCTGTAAATACAGATAAAGCTTCTCTCACTGGTTCACCTGCCACTCACCTCCTGCTGTGTGGCCTGGTTTCTAACAGGGCAAAGCTGGTAACAGTTCATGGCCTGGTGGTTGCGGATTCCTGTTGTATAAAACACCTGAAAAGGACTCTTCAGTACTGTCAAGGTCATCAAAAACAAGGGACACAATGGGAGCCAGTATGGCCAGTATTCCATTTCTAGAAGCTCAAGGCTGTAGATTTTAAAGATGGCCAAACAATGTGGCTAGCTATTGAATAGAATCACATTTCTCACTGTGTGGCCATCTTGGTGTCTCGTTTCATTTGACTTTATTTTTTAGTATAGACAGCAAACCATGCTGCTCTATCCTGTGCCTGCTTCAACCTTTTCCCGAACTGGGGATCCCAGTAGATAAAGTAAGTGGTGAGATCTGGAGAAAGGATGAGCCATCTCCCAAACTTTCATGCCCCTGTGCTGTCTCTTACTAGAGGTTCCATTTTCAGTTCTCTTTGTGTAAGTTGTTAGACTTGGAAATAGAACAGGTTGGAAGACCAGACAGTGAGTCCAATCTCCTTGTCAGCTCCAAGTTTATCTGTACCATGTGCACTCATGGGAAGGGTACCCTATGATTACCAAAAACAGCACTTTTGGAGTTTTCTTAGGAATAGAGCTTGACATATTTCAACATAACTTTTCTTCCTTTTGGAGCCAGAAGATAAGGAGATTCACTTTTCAGTTGCCTCTGGAAAATTTTAGGCTCTAGGCAAAATGCGTGTTCCTAAGCATATGTGTCTGAGTGACTTCTTAATTATTCCCCCTGAAACAACCTCACCGTCAGCAGAATTTTTCCACAACCACATCCAACTAAAATCCCTCTGATAATTCTCACACTAGCTCTGGGATTAAGGAACTGGTAAATATGACGGGACACTGTGAATCAGTGTGAAAGAGTCAAGAAAATATTATTCCCAAGTCCTCTCCACATTAAGATAGAAGAGACACCATTGAAATAACTGGTCTTCGGAGGGGTGTTGAGCAGAGTTTTCCGAAGTTGTATGATTCCCAAGGTTCATGTGAACATTATTTAAAATGTTGGAGTTCTTGGAAGAAGGTTGCAGATTTTAGGTAAAAAAAATCAAAGTGTGTGTGTGTGTGTGTGTGTGCATGCGCGCCGGTGTCTGGATGTTTATGCATAGAGTGAGAAAATAAGGATAAGAAAAATTGAAATCTAGGTGTAATTATTAAGATTCACAAGCACACTGTGAATATAAATAATGTAATATGTGTACAAGATGCTGCATTCTGGGGAGAACCTTCCTTTAGTAACAGCATAAGTTAGAAATACTAACAAAGAGTACATTGTGAAATGAGAAAGAGAATTGAGGTCAGTTTGGAATTGGGGGAAAGGCAGCTTTTGCCCTCTGAGACCTCTTGAATGGTACAGAGAAGAGATTTTTCTCAGTCTTCATTTCTATAGATGGATCTTCTCAGGCTGAAATCAACAGAGGTAATTCTTAGCCTGAATTTAAACATACAGTAATACATAAAGTATTTTGAACACTCACAAAAGTTTAAAGACTCAGACAACAAACACCTGTCTACTCTTCTTTAGATCTAACACAAACATAAGTAGTTTATAGTGTAGACAACAGGAGAAAACTTCCCCTTCACCCTCTGAAAGTTCGCTGAAAATCAGTGGACAAAAGGCAGACGATTAGGAGAAAAGAAATACAAATGTATTTGATCATAGTTTTACATGACATGGGAGGATTCAGAATGAAGACCCAAAGATACAAGGAAAATGTTCATTTCTATGTTTAGGTCCAACAAAATATGGACAGCCATGTAGAAATACGATTGGACAAAAAAGGTATGATCACTTGCTTTGGCAGCAGATATATACTAAAATCAGGAAAATACAGCGGAGATTAACATGGCCCCTTTACAAGGATGGCACACAAATTCATGAAACGCTCCATAAAAATTGAAATTTAAAATTTTAAAAAATGGTATGATCTAATGCTAATGGACAATGGGGAAACCCAGCACGGCCTGACTGTTTAGATCCTGTTTGGCCTCTCTGTGCAGCAATTCCTTCCTCCTGGGTATGAGGTAGTGCTTGCTCTTTCTCTCTGGAATGGAGTTCTTAAGATCTACGATCAAACAAAGTAGACCTGAGAATTTATTTCTGGCCAACTCTTACACAGAAAGGCAGAGTAATGGGGAAGTTAGAGGAATATCTTTAGGTTTTATGGCTGGTTTTGGAGAAAAAAGGTTCTGGTTTCCACGATATGCCTTAGGGAAGAGGTATTGTAGTTTCTACAGCTAACCTTGGGGAAGAATAAAGAGTCAGAGACCTGACACAGGACAGCAGGAGGAGGTCAGAGAGAAACTTGTACTTCGGAGGCTGCTTCCGAGGCCTTCATTATTGGGTATTGTTTTCTGGGACTTTACAATAGCAGCGATTTTCTTTTCTCTGTCTTTCCATGCTGTCATGATTGCACCCTTACTTTCCAGCCAAACTTCCCACTCATAAGCAACCTTCACATGTTTAAATAGTCCCCTAAGGCCAGAAGATCCTTTCTCCCTGTTCCTATATGTCCCAAACATAAATGCCACTTCCTCCATACAGCTTCGCTGAGCCTCTTAGTTGGAAATCATCCTCTACTCACACTCAGCTCTTCACCTATCCTCAGATGGTCCCCATCACTCCCACATAATGGATTTCAATGCTTTTCACACTGTGTTTAGATTATATGCCTTTATCTCAAATAACCTAGAACTCTTCCCATATTCCATCAATAGTTGCTAAATAATTGGATGGATTAAAAGTAGCAGATGTTTCCTTTAAATTACCAAAGGCAGTTTGAGAACATGAGACCTATTTCTTTCTGACCAATAGGCCTGGCATGGGGTCTGGGATATGGTCTACCTTCCACCTCTTTGTATGTAAACATTGTGGCGTATACATGGGAGTCCCCTTGAAGACTTTAATAACTACATTGGTTTTCATCAACATCTCTAGAAACTATACTGAGTTGGTGTTCCTAGTGACCATTTCCTCTCTTTTTAAGCTAATCAGGATTGATATCTACCGTTTAGTTCAATACATTCCATTTACTGATGAGGCTCCACTGTTAGGGTTCCTCAGCATAGCACTAATCATGACAGATAACCAGCCCATATGCTGAGAAGTTTACACACGTTAATTCTTCAACCCTCACAACTTCCCTGTGAACTGGGTATTATTATCATCCCCATGCCACAGATGGAGAAGTAGAGGCTCAATGGAGTCATGCACTTGCCCAAATCACACAGTGGCAAAGCCAGGACTTAAACCCAGATGACTCTCGATCCCAGAGCCCTTGCACTGAGCAATTTCTCTGGTCTGCTAATAAGATGTCAGAGAAGAAGCCAAACCAAGCAAGTGCTTTTTTTGCTCTCCTACGCCATCACTACCCTCTGGGTCACTGGAAGGCAAGTATCTCCTAATTCCTTCAAAACAGTTAACGTTCTCATGAAGTGGTTAAGGACACACATGTGGAAAACATGCAGCTCCTCTAAAAGTCCATAAATATTGGCAATATATTTATTGCCAATAAATAAAGTCCCGAAATATTGGCAATATATTTATTGAAGAAGTTGTGTGTGGGAATTATTAACCTGCACTTGTCTTTAAGGTAGCACACATATAATTACACTTATTACAGATTAGGCAATGTTCTAAGTACAGATGCTCCACATAATTAATTTATTTAACCCTCACAAAAGTCTTATGAAGGAGATGCTATTGTCTCCAAATTACTGATACAGAGAATGAGGTCACGGGGTGAAGCAACTTGTGCTTGTTGGCTCAGCCAGTAAGTACTCAGCTGGGCTTTGAATAGGCTGTGTGGTGCCAGAGTCCACCAGGCATCTACCTCGAAGGTAGAATACTTCTTGGCAGCTTGTTATTTAGATTTACCCATTAAATAGATTTTGGACAAAACTGCATAGAGATGGAAGAAAACTTGAAGTCAAAGTGAGATGAGAAACATCTTCATTTACATTGGAGAACATACCCAAAAAACGGGAAGAATGGGACTTTTGCCCTTCTTTTGTTTTTGATTATGGAAAGAAAAAGGAGATAAAGTAGGAAGAAAGAAAACAAGGCCCATTTCAAAGAATTACAAAAAAAAAAATAAAGAAAGAAAGAAATTCAAAAGCAGCACAATTATAAGGTAAGTATATGTGTAACAGTTTAAAAAATACTGCCTGCCAGGTGCAGTGGCTCATGCCTATAATCCAGACACTCTGGGAGGCCAAGGCGGGTGGATCACCTGAGATCAGAAGTTCAAGACTACCCTGCCCAACGTGGTGAATCCCACCTCTACTTAAAATAAAAAATTAGTCAGGCATGGTGCTGCGTGCTGTAACCCCAGCTACTTGGGAGGCTGAGGTGGAAGAATCACCTGAACCTGGGAGGCGGAGGTTGCAATGAGCCTAGATCGTGCCACTGCACTCCAGCCTGGGCAACAGAGCAAAACTCTGT